AACGACGTTTGTTTCGAATTTTTCTGATCGTGTAACGATGTGAGAGTTTCATGCAACCCATTAGTTGGCAGTGATGGCACTTATCACGCAACCCACAATTTCAATGGCCCCCGGGTAGGGTTGCTGGTGCAAGTGGTGCACCACTGCTGCACCATTAAGTTTTCATATAAATTTAAAGCATTGCACCAGTGGCGACGCCACCTGCACCAGCAACTATACTCCCGGGTCGTGTCCGAAATTCCCATGCAATACTCTTAAATTCGTGCAACACTCGAAAGAAGTTACAGCAATTTAAACTCAGTTATGGGACGATTCTACCGCATCACTGGTTGTTACAAAGTAACAGGTTGTTACACATACATATTTTTGTATAACAATATTTGATTTGAAAAAAATAAATTTTTATAAAGCAAAAAATACAATTTGATTACTTTAGGGTTAAGGTGAGGCCTGGAATTTTACCTAGGATTAGTATATGCAAAATTTAGCAAGGAATTTTTTATATTAGAGTCCAAAGACGGTTTCATAAACAAAATTTTAAGATATTAATGATTTTTAAAAAATAAACAAAAAAAAAAAAAATAGGTGTAAAACATTATAGGTGTTAAACCACCATAGGTGCGTTTTAATAAAAGTGTTTATATAATATAGTTTTGTGAAAGGCCGATAATATATCTCTACAAATAAAGTATAGAGTCATTTCTTAAATTTAAACGTGAAACTTATTATGTTAAAAAAGATTTGATTTGGTCTCTTTTTTGTCCTTTTTTAAATTTATTATATATACGTAAGTGCAAAAATAGCTCTTTAGCTTTATTTGTAGATGTATTTATTGATCTTTACATAATTTAATCAAAGTTATTGAGAATTTACTAATTTACCCCCACCACTTCTTATTGGCTTTATTAATCATTCATATTCACTTAGCGGAGCATTTATATTATTAATCAAAATTTTTTCTACTTCGGTAGTGAGTGGTGGGAGAAATTAGGGCATCTAGTTATTGAACCGTTTCTATTTAGAATTTTAAATTTAGAGAAGAATTATTATAATAATCGAGCCATGCAAAGTTAATTTTTCGTTTCACATATGTGAAATCCTAAAAAGAAACTTGGGGTGGCGGGTGAATTTTTTTTAATATTAATGTCGCCAAAGACAAACCAAACCTCGGGCTTACAAGTTTAATTATTGCCGACATGTTTTAGTCTGGTAAATTATAAATTCAAAAGCCCGAAGTCTGGTTTTTCTATCGAATAATTCCAGAAAGTTAAAATCACCATCGGGTGATACCGGATAAAAAAAGATGGAAAAAATAAACAGCAAAAATGGAATTAATGGAATTATTACGTATTAGTAGAATTGGAACTCTAAAAAAAAAAAAAAAATCCGAAAATTTAAAAAATCAGGTGGCAAAATGAAAATTGATTTTTCTACATAGTATATCGCACACATGCGAACTAATATGAACTTAAACGTTAATCAAAGGTTTCTCTTATAGAGAAATCTTTGTTCAAAGTCTAAAAAACATGTTGTGTCACAAGAAAAGGCGGATTTGGTAAACCATTACTTTATCGAACAAGAATCTAATCCCGCATGATTAGTTTTTAACATAATGATTGCACAATATGATAGCATTATCACACATTTCATGAGCTGAATAGTACAGTTAAACTCAGAAAATTACTAATCAACATTCCATATAAATAACTTTCGTAGTACTTGATGTACTGATTATACTTGTGACCCGAAACCTTTCCCTTCAAATAAGAATGTTGCACGCTTAAAGTTAAAATTAAATTTCAAAGCCTTTCAGTATAGTGTTAGAGTTTCGGGCACAACTATAGTACTGAGGTACTTTTAAACAAATTTTATTTCAGAATGTACTACAGATATTTATTTATATAACGTGATGTAATAACGATAATGTATGTAAATATAATTTATGTAATACATCTTTAACCCCAACATAAGTAATTTATAATTTCCTTATCATTCTCTTGTTCCATAAAAAAGTCCGGCATTTTTAGTGAGTATGAAAGTAGATCTTTCAAAGGGTACCCGACCCGAACTAAAACGTAAGATATAGCTATTATCGAATCCCATTACCAGTTCCATTTGTGGTTAAGAGGGCATCGTTAGAAGATAAGAATAGTATGGCGATCAAATATTTCATAATACAGTGATTGGAATTCGATAATTTATACCATTTCAATTCCTTTCAAAGATAAGAGTTGATGGTATAAAATCTTTATATTCTAATCAACTGGATCACAATATTTTCGATCAACTACAAAAGATTAATTTTAGTACATCCTGACATACAACTCTGCTTAGCCCAAATATATAGAGTTTAACCTCCCTAATGCAATACTTTTCTAAATATACGTTTAACTAATTTTTTACATATGGTCTAGCCACCTGAATTTAGAGAATTTACTCTCATATTATTATTTTTAAAGTTTAAAAACTCCAATATTATCATCAATAATAAAAATTGTCCATATAATATGTTTAAGTTACCTTCTGATAGGGCAAAGAATTAATAGTCAAGTTAGCTTAATACCTCACAAGATCATATTGAGAATCGATTATCAAAAAAAATTGATTATTAGCCCTACTTTTTGAAATCAAAAATCTAATATTATCGTAACAAAACATATAATAACGATAAAAGCAATCATTGAGTATACTTAATAAAAGATGCATCAATAAAAAATAAATTTTACAGGCTATTATTTCAAAGTAATAATTGTCCGCATATACTTATCTTTGGTTAATGATTCAATGGTTATATGAAACTTAGTTTAAAAAAAAGCGATTGTACTTTGAGAAATAATAAAGAGGGAAATCCCAGATTAGATCACATAATTGTAAAAGTTGCATTTTTGATACATTGTACTACCAAAAAAAAAAGATTTATCGTTGTGTATGATGATCTTTGGTTTTTTTGAATAATTATTGCATCATATAATGGAAGAGTTGAATTCGGTATGTTCAGATACATATTTCATTTAGATAACTGTTCAAAAAATAATGACACTATTCTTTTGTTTTCATCTATAGCTTTTAGACTTTTTGCACGATGGTAATCCAAATGTAAATTTTGCAAAATTATATATTTTGTCTTTTATATGTATATAAATTTTAGTGACCAACTTATGAATCGTAGGTTCGCCAACTTGCTCTTAACCATTTGTTAGGTTATACTGTTAAATCATCACAGTTACAACATATTTTTAAACAAAACAATATGAGACCAATAAGCGATTTAAAAATTATTTGCAGAGAAAATCCGGTAAGGTCATTTAACTCCAGACATTTTAACAATTATCAACATAATAAAATAATCTAAACATATCTAGGTAATTGCTCATGATGCTTTTAAAGCTTTAGTGAATTTAGCAAGTGATGATGAAATATGTAAAGAATTAAATGATGATAGCTTTTTACTTCTTATGATGAAGATGATTACAGTATGTTTATTTAAATAACGTTGTACTCAATTTCAGATTAAATTAATGTAAATACTTATCTATAATTCAATAAAAGGATAGTGAGAATATTCTTGCTGATATGGCATGCATGCTTTTATCTAACATTACAAAATATCAAGATATTGCGGTGAAACTCTTGAAATTAGAAGTTCAATTAGTAGAGGGATTGTCAAGTTCAACAAAAGCAATGGACCAACTAGTTGATGTATTTGTTAGAGGTTTAAATAGAGCCTATAATAAAGAAGCTGAATTTCATTTTTTAGCAAGCGTGTTTGCAAATGTGACAATGGTATTAATTTTACAGTTTTTGTATTATTATTTTTTTTTTTTACCACGATGACATTTTAAGTTCTATTATAAAATAGTTACCTCAAGGCCGTGAATATTTTTTGACCGATACATCATATGATAATGTAACGCCATTTTCAAAATTGATAATATTTACTGAACACCCCAATATCATTCGTAGAGGAGGTGTTATTTCATGTATAAAGTATGCATTTAATTTTTTTTATAATTTATAAAGATTGATTTTTAATAAAGCATATATTGACATTTATAAAGAAATTGTTGTTTTGTAATAGAACATCATTTAGACATGCTGTCACCATCTAAGATTAACATTCTTCCCTATATTCTTTTACCATTATGTGGTCCTGAAGAATTTGATTTAGATGTGAGTTTGTATTTGTTATTTAGAATTTGTTGATGACATAAAGTATTTGTAATCTCTTATCAATGATTTTGATGTGAAATATACAGGATATGGAAGGAATGCCTGAAGATATTCAATTTCTACCGTCTGATAAGGTATATATATGCAATATTTTTGATTTGATATATTTTAGATCGCGTAATTAATATAAATATAATTCAAATACTTCCAAAGAAACGTGAACCTGATTCATATCTTAGACAAACTCTTTTGGAATGTCTTGTACTTTTAACAACCACACGACAAGGTCGTACGATACTTCGTCAAAAAAAGGTTTATCCTGTTATTCGCCAAATGCATCTTGTTGAACAAGATAAGAATGTTTCGATCGTAATAGAACAAATTGTAAATATGCTAATGAGAGATGAGGCACCTGAAGAAAATGATCATAATATTGCTCTTGACACAACACAGAGTGAGTGCCTTAATTCTAGCAATGATAACACTATTGAGGAAATTTAGATGTTAGAAATTCGCAATATGATTGGCTAATGTGAAATTCCTAATTTACTGTTAGTGTTTCTCCAATAATAACAAGCAAAGAGATCACTTATGAATCAATGAGTTCACTTATGAAACAATATATATATTTAATTAAGTTTAAAAAAAAGGTCCGAAGAACAAAATCAGCGGATATGCTCGAAGCGTGTTGCACGAATTTAAGAATGTTGCACGAATTTAAGAGTGTTGCACGAATTTAAAGTGTTGCATGGGAATTTTTGAAGAGAGTTGCACGAATTTTTCGAAGAATGGCACGAATTTTTTTAAAGAGTGTTGCATGGGAATTTTCGAAGTGTTGCACGAATTATTTATTATTTTTATTATTATTTTATTTTTTATATTGTTTTAAAAAAAATTTTCGGAAATTTCCTGCCATCATAAAAATAATGGGGTCACATCTTTTTGAAAATCGCAATAATTTATATAGTATATCGCATACCATAATGTATCGGACTGTTCTTAAAAACGTTCTGATTCTTTTTTGGGTTTGTATCTTTATGCAAAAATTCGATAAAATAATTCGCGTTAGTAACAAAAAGCGACGCTGTGTAGCGCAAAATTTTGTTAATAAATAATGTTGATTTGTACGTAGTAGTCTGGAATATTAAAAAGTACTTTATCTCTACAAAGCGAGATAAAGACTGAACCCAAACCCTCAATTTTTTGAAACTGTATCTCGTTAAAAAATTCGGCCATCTCTAAGATTGTAATAGTGATACATTTTAATTTTACTTTTGGTATATGGTTTCTATATGGGGACGCCCACAGTAAAAGGTGGCAATGAGCTAACCAATCAGATTTCGCGATAATAATATTTTAGTTAACTTAGTTTATAAAAAAAAAAAAAAACTATTTTATTAAATATATTACGTAGTAAAAACTTTAGATTGTTTGTTTTTATCCTTATAGTATACTTAGGAATTATATAAAAAATACGAACAACAGCTATACTGGAATTTGATTGGTTAATCTGATGAGTTTTTTTTATCCAAAAATAGAGAATCAAGGTTTGGCCTTAATAAAGTAATGATCTTCTCATGATCATCTGATTGTCTCATTGCCACCTTGGATCCCATATAAAGTAATTATTATAAAGTAATTTACTATTATTAGAACAAGCAAATCGTTACGTATATACGTAGTGAAGAATTTTAAATATTTTAAACTTAAACTTGATTACTGATTTTCAGTCTCGAAAACTTCTCTGTCTTACTATTATATAAAAGAAAAAAGATTTCCTCCCTCGCACATTATTTATATATTACCAATGACTTGTAAGTACGAGGTCACAGTATCCTCTGTTTCTAATCAGCCATTCGTGATTTTTTTTTAAATATTTTTCATAGGACAAAAATATCAATAAATTCTTTTATTTTCTGATAAAATATCTGTTCAGCGTCAGATTGGTTAAAAAGTGCTTTAGATCAAGGATTTATAAAAAGATTTGATTATTCTGAATTTGAAAATTTTCAGGTAATTGGTAATGGAGGATATGGAACTGTTAGAGTAGCTTACTGGAGAGGAGGGGGAATAAAGGTTGCATTAAAAGAGCTTAATGATGTTAACTTCAGCAGTAAAATAATCGACGAGGTAATGATTTAAATGCCCTTTAGTTTACCTTTTTAGTGAATAGTTTAATATATTTTCTAATAAGTTTGCCTAAGTTTTTTTTTTTTTTTTTTAATATAAAATTTTTTTTTTTATCATATAGCTTAGACTCCTCCAAAAGGTTTCTTTTCATCCAAATATTAATCAATTTTATGGAGTTACCGAAGGTATAAAAAGAAATATTCATATTTTTCAAATTAATATCTATCGCTATGTCAGATTATATACATATTTTGTTCTGACGCAAATTAATCTGATGCACGTATCTGACACACAACAGAGAGTCAGTATTTATTTCCGGTCACATGACTTCTGCTCATCAATTAGCCAATAAAAAACAAGAACAATGTAACTTAAAATTTTAGCTTACTACTAACATAAACTAAAATTTGAGTATATCATATGACCGGAAATCGGATCTTACTCCCTATATCTGATCGTTTGATGAGTTACACTTGAGTCGATTCGGCTTGACTCGCCTTTGAAGACAAATGGGAGTCGTTCGCCCAATCCTAATTCATTTCGATTCAATTTATAACAATCCTTAACCTGAATCAAAAATTTTAATTTTAATGAAAATTAGATTCGAGAAGATATATTATAGTATTACAATATGCTAAAGGCGGAAATCTCAGAGATTACTTAAGTAGTAAAATACAAAATGACTACTTTAAAATAGAATTGAAAAGAATTTTTAACATTGCAAGAGATATTACACTTGGACTAAAATGCATGCACCAGCATGAAATTGTTCATCGAGATTTGGTATTTATTACAAATTTTTCTTAAATTAGTGATGATTATTTATAAACATTTATTTATTTTATTTAATTTTTTATTATTATGAAGCATTCGAAGAATATTTTGATACATAAAGGCAATGCCCAAATTGCTGATTTTGGACTGGCAAAGCAGTTAAATGATACCACTCTCACTTCAAAACCAGGTATTAATGGCATGGCAGCATATATTGAGCCACAATGCTTTTTACAAGATAAAAATAATTATAGACCTGATAAAAGGTCCGATATATATAGCTTAGGTGTATTATTCTGGGAACTGACAAGTGGAATTCCTCCATTTGATAGTTGTCGTCCAGACTTAATACCTCTAAAAATTATTTTAGGAAATCGAGAAAAGAAAGTCTCTGGTACTCCTTCAAGTTATTCAAACCTTTATAAAAATTGCTGGACTTCCGATCCAAGAAAACGACCAACACTAGATTATATTTTAAAGATACTTGCAAATTTATTAAATTATTCAGGAGAAAATTTAATTACAAATTATATTGGTCATGACAACAGCATCTCACAGAAAAGTATAATATATTCTCTTTTAGTATCACAAAAAAATCCGAATAAGTCAATTGCAGGAATAATAGATGACCAATCCTGTATTATTGAAAATAGTTTCGATATTTTAAATTCTGTTAATAAAATTACGAAGATTCCAGAACGTAAAGAAAGAGTGAAAAAGACCTCAAAAAAAATATCAAAGAAACTTAAAATCTCTTCTGCTCCATATCATAGAGATAGTGTTCATATAAAAAAAGGTTCAAATGATGAGGTTTCGCAACATATACAAAATGTCATTCATATGGAAGGAGATGTTTTAATCCCTGACATAATAGATTTTAATTTAAAAGGTAAATAAATAAAATTTTAAGAGTACTGTATATATTTTTATAAATTTATAATTTACATTTTTATTAATATAAAATTTATTATATTTAGTTTTATTTGTTGAAATTAATCCTGGAAATTCCAGTGCAGAAACTGGTCATAATTTCGCACATGAATCAAATCATTTCTATCCATGCCTTATTGAAAGTGGTATTACAAATAATGAATATGTTACTTATATGGACGATAGAAGTTTTCCTACTCGATTTAAAATCGGTATTGTTAATGCTGTAAATCGTTGTACGAACTCTAATGCTGTAAGTATCTATATAAATGTAATCTTGTTGTTTTTTATTCTCGAAAATAGTCTATTTATTTATGTTTTACACTTTATATTTAAAGAAGAATTTGTCGAACGCTGAAAAATACAATAGCATAGAACCTTTACTTAAAAAAGTGAAAAAATATAAACCTAAAATTCTGTGTTTCGTAGGAAAAATGATTTTTGATTCATTTGTTAAATATTGTAAAAATAATGGATTACAATCTAATAGAATATTTTGGAATGACCAAAATGGTTTTACAAAGGTATTCGCAATGCCATCAACTAGTGCTAGAGTTAAGAGCTATGAAAAGTCTGATAAATTAAGATATTTTAAAGAGCTGAAAATATTAATGGATCAATAAAATTTTGGGTAATTATGTATTTGAAATATTATAATTACTATATATTAAATAATTCTTTATATATTTTTTAAAAATAATGTTTGTAATATTTTGTTTAATTAGATAGTTTTATTGTAAATATTAAGCATTAATAAAAGATAGGAGGTATTATATGAATTGTAGAGTCTTTTGTATAATATACTGTAGATAATTTTGTTAAACCAATATTAGAATAAGATATCAAGTTAGTAAGTAACTTTTAATACATAACGTAATTTTGGTATCGTCTATTAAAAAATAACACTTAAAAAAAAAACAATAACTTAAATTTTGTATATAAAACTGCTTTGGTGTTCTAATTAAAAAAATTCCTTGCTAAATTTTGGTATAAAATTTCTCTAAGCTATTGTCCTAACCTTAACCCTAATCTAATTATGACTCTGACCTTAAAGTAATAAATAAAATAATTTTAGGTTACACCTGATCTTATGATTACATACAGGGTAGCGCCATGGTGCCATATCGCTATAATATTCCCAAATTTTATTAACAATAATATAGAAAATTTCACATTGGGGGTTTCAGAATTAAAAAAAAATAGCGTATTTCGAAAGTAAATAGGAGTTTAAAAAAAATCTTATTTTTGTTGTCAAATTTTGAAATCGGAAAATGAAATAGGAGTGTCTGGAGTAGAGATGGGTAAATTTATTATGTATTCTTATTAATATTGCTTAACATTATCTAATTTTTTGAACATTAAGTAATAATAAGTCATTCTACTATAATTCTATTTTTAATGACAAAAATTTACATGTTTATTTAATCTCAGCTTTAATTAATCATTTATTACCGTTATCATCATGTGATAGTAATGAATAAGAATTTGCTTAACATTAGTAATATTACTTATTATTAGTTAAACGATAAAATATGTATTGATTACTTAATAAATTACTTTGCCCATCCTTAGTCTGGAGATGCCCATTTCGCCAAACCGGATAACTTTTTTGATAACGACACTAATGATGCCTGACGAATGACGAAACTTTCGTCAGTGACGAATGACGAAACCATTTCGTCAGGTAACTTCGAGTTGACGAAATGACGAATGACGAAACTAACGACGAATGACGAAATTCATGACGAATCATAAATTTTACATGTAATATAAGAATTTGGACGTAATTAATTCAAAATAAGATTTATAACGATAATGGTGTCTAGGGCACAAAATTTCCGAATGCCAGAAGCTGCTTTTTCTCCGGCGGTGTTTATTTTAACCGGAACTTAGAAAACTCAGCCGGATGTAGCAGTTTTTTAATA